CACCACGTGACCTGTTTTCCTCAAATTTGTGGAAAACCAATTCCCACCAACTTTTCCTTTTTTTTTTTTTTTTTTTTCCCAAAAACTGGAACAAAATCAATCAACAATCGTAAAAAAAAAATTATCCCTTTAATTGATAATTTTCATAAAAAAAGGTCAAACGAACACCAAAAGATTTAAAATTAACATTTTTCTAGTGAAAAATTATACTAATAAAACACATCTAATTGACAATTCTCAGGAAAACAAGTTCAGGCAATTTAAATTATTACAATTTGTTTTCTTTCCACTTAAATTTTATTCTTACAATCAAATGAACCTTTATATTTTTTACTCTCATTCTCCTATATATATATATATATTAGTTGAATTCAAGTTCGGAAGAATGGCCTTGACATTTCTCTATTGTCTTTCTTGATACGAATGTTTCATATTTTTTTCTTCACCACGTCTTTTTCTTTTCTCTCATTTTTCTCACGAATAAATTCAAGTTCCAAAGAATGGCCTTGACATTTGTCACCACCAGGTCAGATATTTGATTGGCATCTCGTCTTTCATTATACATGATGGCTTAATTTATTGAAATCAATTGTAATTCGTATACTTAAAAATCAAAGACCATATCCTTGAATAATGCGTAGTGAAACACATTGAATTATTTATAAAGAACTTTGTCTTTTTATACGTTTTTAAATAATATATTAAATGTAGAAGAAATAGATACCAAATTTAATTACAAACTCATAAACAGATTACGACAAGTCTTTCTAACTGACGATAGATTTTTGTACGACTGTAGTCTCTCTCTCTTAAAAAAAATGATTACAATCTTTTAAAACAATTGAAGTCGTTTTAAAAGACTCCAATCGTTTTTAAAAAAACCACTGCAATCTTTTAAACAACTAGAGCCATTTTGGTAAAATAATTGTAGTCATTTTAAAAGATTGTAGTGTTTCTAAAACAATTAGAGTCAACAACTAATATTTTTTTTTAAAAAAAATCGATATTATCTCCCTCCTAATGTGAACTAAACTAATCTCAAAAAACAAATCAATGTCAACAAAACACAAATTTCAAAATAAATTTAGTATCAACTACCACAAAAAAATAAAATAAAATAAAATAAAATAAAATAAAATAAAATAAATAAAATAACTCTTATAGTACACATTCACACAACTCCTTGGAGATTTAGTTTCATTCGCCTATCAAAGAGACAAAGAAGGAACAATTACAAGAAATTATTTGAATTATCTTAAAGGCTATTATTTACAATTTATATTGTCACTATAAATATCTATTCACATAGTCTTGAATCACCAAGCAACTCTATACAACATGTATGTTGGCAAAAGAGAAGCTTCTTGTTACCTTTGTAGGTGTAGTTTGCAATCTGTATATAATAAAATCCTGGAATGAACAATACAACAAAAAATATCCCTACATATATAACATCATATTAAAATAGATAAAATAATAACAAAAAAAATAATATTTAACATCACCTCAGTCTATATATGTTTAAATTCTTCTTGTACCATACTAAACAAACAAAAAAATAGTAAGGTGAAATTAGATTTTTAATGACAATTTTTTTGATAGAAATTGGATTTTACTATGACGTTTTATTTTTTCTAGGCATCTTCACTATTATCTTTCACGTTGTCGATTTGTTCAACAATGCATTTAGCTCGATTATCATCCAAACGGGCATTGAGGCTCAAGCACTTGCTCTTCATGTGATGAGATTTCTTTTCTAATTCACTATCATGCAAAGAATTATCTACAAGATGAATGCATGTCTTCTTACAAACTATTCCAGAAATTTTTTATTTATTTTTATTTTTATTTTTATTTTTTTCCTGATTCCCATTAAAAAGACACAAGCATTAGCCAATCAAGTTTAAACCAGTGGTCAAGAAGACAACATTATTGTCCCATTATTGAAAAATGGCTGATCTCAAAATTTTAATTTTACTGTATTCACTTGATAAATTATGTCACTACAAACAAAACATAAGACTTAAATTGCATAATTTCCTCATTATCAAACAATGTTATCAAAATCGGCCCGGTCTGACCGGTTCAACCGGTAAAACTGAGAATCGGGCCCAAAACTGGGGTAATCACGCCTAGTTAACTGCTTATAACTAAACTACTCAAAAATTCACCGAACCAACTTGTTTAATTGTAGACCAGTGAACCGGTCACAGTTTTGTGGTTTTCCCAATTTTGTGTTTCCTTTTTAGTTTAAAAAATTTCAATTTCATGAATGGACCTCATAAACAAGAATTCAAAGGCCCATAAAAAAACATTGGATGATATGCTCCTTTTATAAACTTTCAACATGGGATAGTGCATTTTATAGATGCACTTCTGTTCAACGGTTTCATAAACTTCCAATATGGGATAGTGGCATAACAAAAATGTTAACAAATTATAGAATAATGAATCTAATTAACAAATTATTAATATGATTTTTTTTTTAAAAAAAATTATTGTTTTCATACTATTTTATTATTTTTGTATGTATTTATTGTATTCGGTTCGATTCCAGTTGAACCTTTTGAGCCTTAATCCTTCACCTTTTTCGAGTCAATGATCGAGTCGTTTTTAAAACATTGTTATCAAGTTTCATACTGATCTAAAAGCCATAGTTTAACTTTGTAGTCATAAATGAAATTTAAAACCAATCAAATAACCCATTGATGATGTATCATTATTCATGTATAATTGTCAATGAGCAAATTTAAGTAGGCCGTTTGTAAGTTTTCGAGGACTCATAGTTCAATTACAAGAATCCAATTCATCAAGGAGGGGAAAGGGGACAGGAATGGAACCAAGGGTAACTTTTTCGTGCCAATGGGAACTGCGTTAGCTCAAGACGAAGTGAAGCCACATGATTATGAAAACATGTTTGGACTGGGGTCGGGGGATCCTTATCTTCAGGAAAGAAATTCTGAAAACATAGGATTTTAAGGTTGTCTGTCCTTCGTTTATTTATATATTTTAGTTTTTCTGCTCGATGCCAGCAAACTTTATTGGGATATTTGACTGGAGTTCATCAATAGCCAGTGAAAATTACTCAAGTGGCTATGAATTTTGGGAACTTAGTTCATTCTCCTCGGATTGTAGACATCCAAACTTTGTAATTTTGGATGATATTAGATTAATACAAAAAAATGGGATTCAATAATTTTATGGTTGCATTGTACAGGATAAGACTTGAACATTGTAGGGCTCTAAGCAAAAACCGTCAAACCGGAAAACAGAATCGAAACTGCATTTTAGAAATCGTCGATTTGGTGCCATATGAAACCCGTCAACGAAATGATTTTGAATCAAACCAAACCGGTTAAAAACGGTTTGGTTTAGGTTTAGGTTTGAGAATTTTAATTATGGTTTAAAATTAGATCGAACTAGCGAAAAAATATATAAAAATAAAAAAGAAAAAAATGAACTTTTTTGAAAATTCATCCAAATATGTAAAATTCAATAATTTTGTGACTTTTGTCATTTATGGATATTTTTGTCAATTTTTAATTTTCTATATATATATATATATTATTACCCAATAATCCTAATTAGTTATTATCATTATTATTATTTTTATCGAGTTTTAATTTTTGTCTTGGATCTAGGATCTTAAAAGCCATATAAGCTCCAAACTAGAAAAGAGGAAGGATTTGAGTTTGGATTATATTACTTTCAGTCTTACACCCATTGAATAACACGAAATAGAAAAAGGGTAATTATTATGCTTATATATTATAAATAATTGCTTTATTATTGTGGTTGGTTATTTTCTCTATCTAATCAGAAGCATTTTATTATTGCAGTTATGATGATCACGACTTGTTGAACATCATTAATGTTATTGGCCTTATATTTAGTTTAGTAGATTTTTATTATAACGTTATCGTAACATCATTAGTCTAAAAATGGCGAACAAAAACCTATGTTTTACTTTATTGTGATTTCACTTTGATTTAGTTGGTATTTAAATTAATAGTAAATATATTTAGTTTGTTTTAGATTTATTACTAGTAAGATATAAATATATGTTGAATTCAATGAATTGATGGAGTAAAAGTGGACAGACAAAAATATTTACGGCGAAACCAGCGGTTTAAAACCAGATCAAACCGTTAGGTTTAGGTTTGAGTTTTTTTTTTTTCAAACCGTTTGAAATGGTTTGATTTATGTTTGGATTTTTTTCAAACTGGTTTAAACAGTTTTGTTTGAAAATTTGTCAAAAATCGGTAAAATCGGACCACTTACCCCCTAATTATATGGTAGGTTTTGGAGGGTAAAAGAGGAAATAACAATATTAATATTTTGTTCATATTTTTTTTGTTATATATAATTTGGTCAAAGGCTAAAAATGATTTTCAACCGGGTCAAAGGTCCTTTTACCACTATTCTCACAACTTATTCCCCAAGATATCAGAATTTCTACAAGAGAAAGGGAAAGAATTGGCGTGCAAGTTTAAAATATTACACAAGCGGCAGTCTCTTTCATCTTATTTACCGAACCTGCAAATGCAATCATCCACCTCTGTAGAATTTAATCCAATTTTTCTTCTCAAACTTTACACTACACAGCACACAATCAACAATTAGAATATTATTCGAAGCAAATAAAAATAAAAGAAATTGAAATTTTCTTAATTATAGTTTGAAACTAGAAAACATACAGAAAAATATTTTCTTTCTTAGAAAATGGCGAGAGCTAACCAAGGGGAAATCGAGACTTTCATGAGCATCACCGGCGTTTCTGATGCCACTGCTGTTCAGAAACTTGAGGTAATTTTTACTGTTAAATTAGTTTTCAGGATTGAAATATTAATATACTAAATTCAGTGAATTTTTTAGCACCTTTTATTGAATATGGGGTCTGTAATATGTTATATAACTGTAAATGGTGTGATTAATTAGCTAGTAAATACTATGATTTATTATTTATTTATTTATTTATTTATTTTTATTTTCAGCCGAGTTGAAAGAATTATACCTGGTTTATGTGATTTAGTTTTCTGTTAGCTTTAGCAAATTCTATATGCGCATGTTTTTAATTTTGGTGTTTTTTGCCATCATCATGAACAAGTTTTGTACACCTTTTATTCTATAAAAGGCTCACCATTGAACATCAACTGTATTGTCGACAGATTCAGTGAAAGAATATGTATAGCAGATTTATTATTGTCCTGGAATGTTAACATAGCTAATTATTGTATCACGTTCTTTCAGAAATAAGGAACTTTAATTCTTTATTATTGTATAACACTTCTAATATTAATCGCACACTGTTTCAGTTAATAGCTTTCAATTTGTTTTGTTGGAGGAGTTTAAGTTTTAAACAATACTGTTGTGATTGCTTGCACGCTCTTCTTTCACGTTTTTTTTTATTGCTTCTTTCCTTTGCTTTTAACTTGATAGTTTTATATGTTGTGTAAGTAGGAGCATCATGGCAACCTCAACGAAGCTGTTAATGCACATTTTAGTGCCGGGGACAGAAACATGTAACATTTTATAGTGTCTTTTTATATCTTCCTTTTATTTTTCTTTCCTTTTGTCCAACTAAATTCCTAAGTATATGGTTTTTTCGCCATTTTCAGAACAAATCAGGCATCCTCTGTGGATCCTCATGATGATGTTATGGACATTGATGATCCAATCCAAGATGAATCCCATAGACCTCCTTTCTCGTTGCCAGTGTCCACTAAAGATGCGAATACATTTTCTCTTCTTGGTCCCAACTTTACTGGAAGTATAGTTGATAGGGGTACTGATTTTACAAGTGGTTCACATTTTGTGTCACATCCAAGAGAAGTGAGGCGGATTCCTATTGAAATGAAAGATGGGAATGGACCAATGGGTGATTCCGGTAATGCTCCTACTAATGAAGATGTAACTGTAAGTGCCCGAGATCATGGAGGGACTGTCATAATTGACGACGACGATGAAGCCAATGTTCCTAATGGCCCTATAAGTGCTCCCACTATTGTTGATGAGGCCGACTACAACAAGGATATAGAAGAAGAAATGGTTCGGGCAGCTATCGAGGCTTCTAAGCAGGATGCTGCAAAGTCAGAGCAGCAACTTGACAATTATAGTGTATGTTGTGGTTTTAATGTGCGAGATCTCTCATCCTTGAGCTCCGTCAATTTCATTAATGGTATATTTCATTCTGATACAGGATCTTAGGGATCCCATGCCTCAGCCAAGGCAGTCGCATCCAGAAGATGCTGAATTTGATCATGCAGTTTCATCATCGCTGAAGGTACATTTGTCAATTTTATGCCAACATTTTACGAATTATCATCGTTAATTCATTAACACGAAGTGAATTTAGACAGCAGAGCAAGAGAAAGCATTGCAGGAAGGAAAAATTGGAGCATTAGACCTGGAAGCTGAGAAATCAGCTGAGACGGAGGAGCCGGGGAAACTAAAATCCTCAAGTGGAAGGTATGTGTCTCCTTTGTCATCAATGTTTTGATAGAGTTGTTCTTCCCGTGACTTTGGCTGGGAGTTACTCTTTCTTTGTTTGCATGTTGGGTACCATAATTCTCATGATGGATGCATTGACATAATTGTTGAGTGTCAAGTATTTGGATCTTCTGATAAGGTACTTTTAGGCAATCTAGATTGGAGATCGGAAGCTCTTCCATCCAAAATGAAGCAGATGTAGAAGAGCAGCCGCTAGTTAGGCAAAGGAACAGACATATGACCTCAGATTCTCTTGAAGGAGTTGAGGTTACCCCACCACCAAGTCAGCATGATAATCTTCATCAGTCACAGCAGAATGAAAGTGTCTTTCCCTCTGATGAGGTAACATACGTTTCTCCATATTCACAACTTAGGAACATGTTTAGCTAAGCTGAAAAATAAGTTAATTTAGCTTTTTTGAATGTAAAGATCATGCTTATATTTTATCAAGTTATTGTACTGAAGTTCAAAAAAATAGGCGACTTCTAAGAAAAAAGTCTAGCATGTTTGAGAGAAAGAGTTACTTTGACTAACTTTTAGAGCTTCAAATATGTTTGGCCAAGCTTATTAGTTACTTAGGTAAACATTTGTTTTAACTGTAGCCCCACTTTATCTCACATTTATTAAATCATCTGGAAAGTAAAAATGAATTTCTTTTTTTTTGTTTTTTTTGTTTTAAGAGCACTAATATTTTATATCCTTAAAGTGGGGTGGCATCTCGTCTGTGGAGCATGACGAAGCTGTAATGCTTGAAGCTGCAATGTTTGGTGGGATTCCTGAAGGGAGTGGATATGACTTCCGTTATCCACCTCATGAGCTCATACAGGATGATTTAGATAGAAGTATGGGTCTTCACCAAAGGCATATACCTCGTCCTCCCTCACCCTCGTTTTTTTGTTTTAAGAGCACTAATATTTTATATCCTTAAAGTGGGGTGGCATCTCGTCTGTGGAGCATGACGAAGCTGTAATGCTTGAAGCTGCAATGTTTGGTGGGATTCCTGAAGGGAGTGGATATGACTTCCGTTATCCACCTCATGAGCTCATACAGGATGATTTAGATAGAAGTATGGGTCTTCACCAAAGGCATATACCTCGTCCTCCCTCACCCTCTCTTACTGCTCAGCGGTTGATTCGAGAACAACAGGTTCGTGTAATGAGAATGCATTGGTGCTTACAGTTTGTCATCCTTGATTCTAAATCTGTGATTACATGCAGGATGACGAATTTCTTGCAGCATTACAAGCTGACAGAGAGAAGGAATTGAAGGCCAAGGAAGATGCTGAAGCTGCTATTGCAGAAGAGAGACACAAAGAGGAGGAAATGCAGAGGAGACTGGAAGAGGAACGGGTAATTTAATTTTGAAATTTTGGTCCATTGACCACAGCTTATTATAGGCGATAGTTGAAAGAACTTTAACAGCATGTTTCTTGCTCTTGCTCTTGATTGAATTTTGATTTGCTTTAAATTTCGTGCTTGGACAGCATCTTTTTTAAAGCTTATGGTTTCATACTTGATTATAACTTCGATAGATATACTCTTGAATTTTCATGCTAAGCTTTGCCTCTTCGAGTTATTTCTAGACAATGGAACACATTAGGGAATGTTATCCCTGGACATGTTTGTTTATTACACTTGGCACCATTCGTGACCAAAGTTTAAAAATCAGGCATCAATGCATTTTGCCTCTTTGAAGCTGGGAAAAGTCTTGAGGCATAAGCCTTGATACAAAACAATGAAGTATAACATAAAAGATAAATGAAACATATACTCATAGTAAATTAACAAGTAATAAATCCTCAAAATAGTAATCACATAATAATATTAGTAATCCACAACCAACCTAGAAAAGACTTAAGGTGATCCATATCTTAACTTTATATACAATTGTCAATAGAATTATCAGCATTCCTTGTCATGCTTCTCTTCAATTTCAATTTGTTGTCATCCTCAACTTGAAGTGGTGATTTCACCTTCCCGTATAAATGCAAAAAACAAATTTCGTTAATCGAACTTGGTAACTAAGATAAACAAATACACGTTTCAATTAGAAAATAAGTACCTTTGCCTAAAACATTATACTGGCATTGTGCAGCACTCTCTGCCCTAAAAAATCCTCATTGAGATCAATATCATTAAGCTTAAATGTGTTTAATGGACTTTCACAGAATCAGTCTTATTCAACAATCCATCATCGCCTGACAACAAGTTATACACAACTGAAGGACATCCTCTGGCTGAATTTAATCTTGTAATCTTATTATACATTTTGCAAAAGAAAGGAATTAAAGGATTAATCCTCTTTTTGATCAAGCAGTGGTATGGACTTAAGTGAACTCTCTCCAGTGCAGTCTACATTGAGAAGTTGAAATAGTAAGACCAAAAACTTTAATTGCATAGCTTGTCAATCTTTTAGTGTCTCTGAATTGAGCCCAACAACGAACTAAATCAAAATTATGAAAAAAAGTGTGAAAGCATTTGTTAAATGTAAAGTATATTGATTATCTATATCATGATGTTGAGATATAATGTGTGATAATAAAATTTTAAGTAAGCACGCACATTCCAGGAGAACTTTTTCGCAAGATTATTTTATAAAATTTTATTTTAATTATGTAAATACTAGCTGAACTTCTTTCAATGTTCTTCTAACTCTGCTCAAAGTTTTACTTAAAAGTTGTCTCTTGCATGGAAAGTGTTTGCTCAATTTTTTAGTGTCTCTGAATTGAGCCCAACAATGAACTAAATCAAAATTAAGAAGAAAAGTGTGAAAGCTATTGTTAAACGTAAAGTGTATTGATTATCTATATCATGATGTTGAGATATAATGTGTGATAATAAAATTTTAAATAAGCACGCACATACCAGGAGAACTTTTTGGCAAGATGATTTTTTAAAATTTTATTTTAATTATGTAAATACTAGCTGAACTTCTTTCAATGTTCTTCTAATGCTGCTCAAAGTTCTACTTAAAAGTTGTCTCTTTCATGGAAAGTGTTTGCTCGACATAGCCCTTTAGTTACTAGTTCTGAGAAGCCATGAAATGAGTGGTAATCCATTTCTTTTCTATATTACTACTTGAGTCAAAATTTAATACCTATTACAATTTTGCATTCGTAACCAGTGTTCAATTAACAATGTTTGGCTTGCATTAACCTCTTATATATCAGGGAAGAAGTTATTGTACTTGCATTAACTGCACTTGAAAATATTCTTCGAAGTGCCATTGAGGGTATGGGAGCATAGGTTTTGAACCTGAATTGGGCAAAGAGGTGGGTCACTGGTTCAACCAATAATCCCCTGATTCAACCGGCGAGTCAACTCCTTTCAAATATGATGTTAACTACTTAAAAAATCTTCAAATTTGTTCCAAACAAAACAAAAATTTGGATCCTTTACCTCCAAACCCACTTTCTTCAGTACAATTAACATGTACGGGGAGAAGACAAGAAGTCCTCCAAAAAATTAACCTCCAGAGTTAGAAAAATCATAAACTACCACTTGACCAATAGACTTTAGAAAACCCATAATCAGAAAGTAATGATACAAAGCAATCTTTCATAGACTTTAATGCCTGTTTGGTTTGGATTAAAATTTGATTTTAATCTAAGTCAAAGTCAAACAATCAATATTAACCTCATCTTTCATGGGTTCAACAACTTTCAACCACACATTTCAAAAACTTTTATCATAATCTAATAAAAAATCTAATTTTAATCCCTACCAAACATCCTCTTAATGTGAAACTGCCAAGAAAAACTTTATAATTGGACTTTTCTCTAGTCATCAAATAATACTAGTATGGATTGAAGGAGGTTGGATAAAATTACAATGAGAAGTTAATTTCTCAATTCAAATTGGGAGAACCATGTTCTGTTGCTAGAAAAATTTAGGGCTAAGGGTAAACATGCCGGGTAAAAGTTGAAATGGAGAGTCCAAATGCAAGTAAAAGTGTTAGATCGGTATATTTTTTCCTCATCAACAAACCATTGGTTCAACTGGGTCATGTTTTTTCATGAAACCAGGTGGTATTTTGGTTGAACCAGTCTGGTCTTATAATACTGTATGGTAGAGAACTTCCCAATCTCTAGAAAAGTGTCAAAGTAATAAGCGAAGAAAGAAACAAAAAATGAACTAGTAAGCCCTCCAACTGCTTAGCTTTAAAATGTTTGAGGCTTGTTTTCACGTAAGCTATGAGGTTTGCCCAAATTGTTGAGCTAATTTTGCATGATTACATTTTGAATCTCTTTGACATCATTGATGTTATTGGTGGAGGTCTTGGGAAAGGCATATTATATATATATATTTTTTTTTTTGAAAAGAAGGCATATTTTATATTTAGTAAGGTTTAGTAATTTGGTTGCTTTTCTCTTCCAATGGTCTAGTAGGTTAATAAGAACTACTTTTTAGTAACAATTTATGCTTTAGAGCTTATACCTTGTATCTGTTATCACTGGCCAGGAACTTGAGAGACAATTAGCTGCAAAAGAAGCTTCCCTTCCTCTGGAACCAACTCCAGATGATGACAATGCTATTACCCTTCTTGTGAGGATGCCGGATGGCAGTCGGATGGGTCGGAGCTTTCTTAAGTTAGACAAGCTGCAGGTATGGATGAGGTGGATCTTTGGTTTGTACTTATTTTCTTATTCACAACCTTACCTGATTTTTTTTTGCAGTATCTTTTTGACTTCATTGATGTTGGCAGAGTGGTTAAGCCTGGTACTTACAGATTGGTAAATATTTCTTGCCATCCTCTTCTTATTTGTGCCAGTTCGTCTCCTTTTCGTTTAATTCTGAAGATACACTTTTAGACGGCTTTTGGTAGCTGAACGCTTGGATGGAATGGTGATGATGGAGGTGGAATGATTATTCTAGTTCTTTGTTCACTACAAACATTAAAAAAGAAAAAATAAAGAAACCAAGATAGAAGGATGCAAATCCATTTCGTCTGCCAATTTCCATAAACACCATTGACAATCTAAATTTTGAAACCATCAAATTGTATTCACCAAAAACACTTCAGGAAAAATCAATAGGCAACGTACATCTGTTTTCATATGAATTTCAATTTATAAAACTAAAACTTACCAAAAAATTCAAACTTGCTGATTATGGCAAATCTCTGCCCAAACATCAATATATGACCTACTTGAGGGAGTGGGAGATGGAGATGTATTGAGTAGTGAAGAGGATTGTGATAAGCCCCCAATTAAGCATACCTATTCTAGAAGAATGGAGAAGAGGGGGGGCAGTAACAAATTCTGTTAGGAGTGAAAAGTGAGGAGGGCAATTCGGTTAGTAGTAATCTATCAATAGAAAAGGGTTGGGAAGAGATAGGCACGCAAAAAGAATATTTCAGTAAGAGTGGATGTCATACGACCTCTTAACGGTCACCTTTAATTCGGTTCTGTTCTTTCTTTTTGTAATTGGTATTTTCCATTAATACAAGTCTCCTTTTTCAATTGATTTCCTTGTTTTCCCCATGTAATTCTATAGCACTTTGAGTTGTACTTATCAATTTGGTATCAGAGCCATACAACCATGACGTTGATAGATCGTGTGGGAGATTTGGAGCAAAGGGTGGAGAACCATCATCAGGAACTTCAGGCAGGTTTGGGTTCACTACAAGCAGAATTCAAACTAATGCATGCGGGAATGACAGAAAAGTTCGAAATGCTCATGCGAAAATGGGATATTCAGGAGAAAGAACGTAAGGAGAAAGGAATAGCCATTGAGAAGTCACCAACGTTGTCTGCCGAGTCTGGGTTAACACAATCGCGACCCAGCAGTAACCAATTCGTTGGGGGAAGTGCTGGTAATGAATGGAGGGGGGAGCCACGCATACGGCGATTGGAGATGCCGGTATTTGAAGGGAACGATCCAGATGGCTGGGTGTTCAGGGTGGAAAGATATTTCAGTATCAATCGACTCTCTGAGGAGAAGAAGTTGGAGGCCGCGGCGGTGTGTTTTGACGGCGAGGCACTGGCCTGGTTCCAGTAGGAAGAACGGAGGAGACCTGTGAAAACTTGGGAAGATTTGAAGGCACAATTGCTCAGGCGATTTCGACCCTCACAGGAGGGATCCTTATGTGCCCAATTCTTGTCTCTCCGGCAAACTTCGACGGTGAGGGAGTACTGCCGGCGTTTTGAAACTCTAGCCTCGCCATTAATTGGAATCTTAGAGGAGGTGATGGAATGTAGTTTTCTTAATGGACTCAGGCCGGAAATTAGGGCCGAAGTCCAATTACTGAGACCTTTGGGCCTAGAGTAGATTATGGAGGTGGTCCAAATGGTTGAGGACCTGAACCTAATTACCCACCAAGGCCCCGGTCCAACGAAGCCCAAAAGTATTCCATATCATAGTCCCAACCCGCCTCAAGCCCCACTCAGTCAAAATAGAAACACGATCCTAGTAAATCTACTTCCACAACGCCCAAATTTTGTCCCCAAAAATCCAGCAGCCTTCAAACGCCTTTCAGATTCTGAGATTCAAATCAAGAGGGAGAAGGGTTTGTGTTATAAGTGTGATGAAAGGTTCACAGTTTGGCACCGATGCAGGAATAAAGAATTACAAGTCCTGGTGACCCGCGAGTTTGAAGGAAGCAATGAGCAAACGAAGGTTGGGCAGAACGGCGAACTGGATGCCGGCGAAGTTGAGGCTGACGGCGACTTGGGTCCCTTCGGAAATGACATCATGGGCCCGGGACAGTCAGTGGAATTGTCAATAAATTGGGTGGTGGGCCTCACAGTGTCGGGCACCATGAAATTGAAGGGAAGGCTTGGACAGCGAGAGGTGGTGGTACTGGTGGATAGTGGGGCATCACATAACTTTATTTCAACTGACATGGTTCAACAGCTGGGGTTGCCATTCTCTGGCACTGCAGGCTACAGAGTGATCATGGGAACCGGCTTAACAGTGAAAGGGGAAGGCATTTGTCGACGGGTGTCTTTAAAGCTACCAGGGCTATTGATAAAGGAAGATTTTTTACCCTTGGAATTGGATAGCTCTGATATTATTCTGGGAATGCAGTGGCTTCAGAAGTTGGGAAGGACGCAGGTGGATTGGAAGAGTCTAACGATGTCTTTCGACGTGGCTGGGACGAAAATAACATTGCAGGGGGACCCCAGCCTCAGCAGGACTCCCGTGTCACTGAAAACGATGTGGAAGGCTTTTAAGGAATAGGGAGAAGGACTTTTGCTGGAATTGGGAACCATTACCATCGACTCAAAACTTACTACGCCGCAACCAGCAGCAATTATTATCGAAATTTTGAGGAATTTCAATTGGTCTTCAAGGATGTAACCCAGCTGCCTCCTAAGAGAACTCAAGATCATGCGATCATCTTGAAATCCGGTGCTGCGCCGGTGAATGTGAGGCCTTATCGATACACGCACTTCCAGAAGAATGAAATTGATCAGCTGGTGCGGGAAATGTTGGTAGCAGGAATTATACAGCAAAGCACAAGTCCGTTTTCAAGTCCTGTGCTTTTGGTCAGGAAGAAAGATGGAAATTGGAGATTTTGCGTGGATTACCAAGCATTAAACAAAGTCACTTTCCCTGTCAAATTTCCCATCCCGATCAATGATGAGCTGCTGGATGAGTTGAATGGGGCGACGGTGTTCTCAAAGATTGACCTTAAGTCCGGATACCATCAAATCCGGGTAAGAGCAGAGGATGTTCCGAAAACTGCCTTTTGGACCCATGAAGGCCATTACGAATTTCTCGTCATGCCTTTTGGTTTGATGAATGCACCAGCCACTTTTCAATCCTTGATGAATTCCATCTTCAGAGAGCTGCTCAGGAAATGTGTGTTGGTCTTCTTCGATGACATCCTAGTCTATAGCCGAACCGAGGTGGAGCACAGGGATCAACTACGTAAGGTTCTACAGGTCCTAGTGGAAAATCAGCTTTATGCGAACAAAAAGAAGTGTTTATTTGGGCAGAAAGAGATAGAGTATCTGGGGCATATTATTTCGGGAAAGGAGTAGCGACGGATGAGTCTAAAGTAGCGGCAATGAAAGAATGGCCGCGGCCAAAAAACTTGAAGGAATTAAGAGGCTTCCTAGGGTTGACAGGGTACTACAGACACTTTGTCGAATCCTATGGTAAGATAGCGTGGCCATTGATTCAACAATTGAAGAAGGATAACTTTGGGTGGAATGAAGCAGCAGAAGTAGCATTTACAAAATTAAAGCAAGCAATGGTGAGGGTTCCAGTGTTAGTTCTTCTAGATTTTTCACAGCCTTTTGTGATTGAGACGGATGCGTCTGGACAAGGAGTGGGGGCTGTCTTGATGCAAAATCAGAAACCCATTGCTTATTTTAGCCGGGTCCTTCCGCCGAGGAGCCAGAATAAATCAATATATGAAAAGGAACTCATGGCAATTGTGTTGGCTGTACAGAAGTGGAGGCATTATTTGCTGGGAAGACAATTTGTAGTCCGGACAGACCAGAAGAGTCTCAAATTCCTTCTTGAATAGCGCTTAGTAAACGTGGAATATCAAAAATGGTTCACAAAGTTGTTGGGGTTTGACATGGCTATAGATTACAAGGCCGGGCTGGAGAATAGGGCAGCAGATGCGCTGTCAAGAAAGGGAACAGCCACGACCTTGATGACCCTTAGCATTTCTTGTAGCCTACAGTTAGATGAAGTGATAAAGGCTGCAGAAGAAGATCCGATGTTGAGCCGCATTAAGACTACTCTAAAGAATGATCCATCGTCTTGTCCAGGTTATACCCTCATTCAGGGAGTTTTGTTATACAAAGACAGAATCACTTTACCTCGGGAATCATCACTTATCTTAGTGGTTCTACAAGATGGACATGACAGTAAGATTGGGGGACATGGGGGTTTCCTTAAAACCTTCAAAAGGGTGGCAGCAACTTTCCATTGGATTGGGATGAAAAAAGACATAAGAGCATATGTGGCCGCATGTGAAGTTTGCCAACAGCACAAGTATTCCACCTTAGCTCCTGCCGGGCTGTTGCAGCCGCTCCCTATACCAGAGAAAATATGGGAAGTCGTGTCCATGGATTTCATAGAAGGGCTACCAAAATCGGAAGGGTTTGATTCAATCTTGGTAGTAGTTGATCGCTTGAGCAAGTATGCGCACTTCATTGGTCTCAAACACCCCTACACAGCACCATCTGTGGCAACTGCCTTTGTAAAGGAAGTGGTTCGGCTTCATGGGATTCCTCACTCAATCATTTCCGACCGAGACAAGGTATTCTTGAGCAAGTTTTGGTGTGAGCTGACTAAACTCAGACATAGCTCAGCCTATCACCCCCAAACTGATGGACAAACAGAATTGGTAAATAGAGGAGTGGAAACGTATTTACGTTGCTTTACTTCAGTCCGACCAAAGGAGTGGCATCACTTCTTACCTTGGGCGGAGTATTCTTACAATACCTCATTCCATGTGGGAGCACAACGTACCCCTTTTCACATAGTGTATGGAAGAGACCCTCCACCTCTGCTGCGTTTTGAGAAAGGGTCAACTATAGT